AATGCTATTGATTGATTTAAAAACCATCATCCAACGTATTTATGATCAATATAATCAACAATGGTTATAGGAAATTAGTAATTCATCAAATTTAGAGACGTATGATATTATAAAAGGAAGTTTAGAGTTTGAAAAATACCATTCTTTAGTAAAAAATCAAAGTTTAGAATAGTTTGTCGTAGTAGATAGTAGATGCTCAGCACAAAGACTAATGATAGAAAAAGGTAGACTTAGGAATATTGACAGAAATCAGACACTTTGTTAAAAAAGTAACATGAATGAAATTGAAACAGAATATCATTTTGGACTGGTTTGTCCATTTTATAGGCAATAAAGGGAAGAATATTTGTCAAAATATTATTGCTCTTGGCCTACTTTAAATCAATTTATATTTTTAATGAAAAATTCAAAGCATGGAATTGTTAACAGATATTCAAAGTATATCTACTTCGCAAATGTATTACGTGATATAACGAATAATTGATTGTTTTTATATACTGATATTGTTATATATAGCATACTAAATTTTACAAACATATATTGAAATTACAATGTATCTGTGTTTCTTTACAATATAAAAATATTATTGTAAAAATAATTTGTATTCAGTGACTACATACATTTCTCATATACTATTTGTAACCTTCAATTTGTTTGTGGCGACGGACATTGTAAAATGTTAATGCTTTTTGAAATAAAATCTTGAATCTTATGTGACTTAGTCTATCAATATGTATTTATTTTCAGTTGTGCTAATGGAACATATGTCCAAATACAGATAACCATGTGGTTTTAGGGCATAACTCCCTTCATGTCTTTGACGTTTAGTATTGATAGTTGTTTAGTTGCTGCCTGATTTTTCTATCAGTATGTCTAAATGGAATTTAAACAAATTATCATTACAAATAATGCTTACGAAGACTTTAAAATATTCCCAAAGAACAAAGAACTCAATCTACATTTTTGTAGTATGTCACCAAACGGAGCAACAACATGTTATAAGGTTCGTGTCCCTGAAGTAGGAAAAGTCGATTACACAAAATAGAAACAAGATCCCTAAAAACGCCCAAAACGACAAGACCGAAATAATGCAGGCTCGGTTTGGTTGAGCCTGTTCATGGCGGTTCGGGAAAGTGCAAGTTACCGTCCACGCCCCTAGCACTGGCTTAACCAGAATTTAGTATTTAAACATAAAAATGGTCAGTTACAAAAATGCGTAATTTGACAAAACTAACCAAAAGCTCAGTGTGAAAGATATGTCCCACTTTAAATGCATATACATTGTAAAACGTTTCTAAAACGTATTGCAGAAAATAAATAATTTTATTATATACATTAAAAGAAAAGTACAAAAATGTTTACTCAAGATTTAAAAAAATAATATATGAGCTTTTTAGAATTTCAGACTGAACTTAAAAGGGACAAACACTGATCCTCTACTTTGTTTTTTCACTACTGCAATTGTATAAACACCAAATAAGGCAAATTTGAAAATTTCCCGTAACAATAATCTTAATCATGTGGTCGCAAGGTCATTTTTTCACGATACGTGTATGTCATCGCACTTTCGAAAATATGTTATAATATCACAACGTCTTCTGAACTGTATGTACGCGTTCTAATGCCAATCTTAATGTTCTGTATAGAAATTAAATTCCTAGTTAGGGGAAATTTTAATTAGCTAGTACTTTTTTACGTACATTTACAAGAAATTAAACCCTTATTATGATTTTGTTACATCTTATTTTTTTTTTCCAATGTCTATTGCACTATATAGTTGTACTGGGGAAATATTCACAAGTATTTTGAATGAAAGTGTGACAAAATATTTAGCAATATTTTTATTTTTCTCAAGACATACACAATAATACAATAGATAAAAAACGAGGCATCAATCAATCATATATCCATATGGAAAAAAAATATATACAATAATTAACTATGTCTAGAAAATCTTAATAATGTCATTCTCAATAACAATGAATGGAAAAATCAATCTTAGATAATTGTTTTCAGTTCATATGGCATAATACATTTTGCACATGCTTTAAGTGTGTTACATGTATTTCAATTTAATAAAGAAGAATAGAAAAGAAAAAATACATGATAAAAATAAATGAATACATGTATATAAAAAAGTATGAAAATACTAAATAAAAGTTCAACAAAGCAGGGTTCAAAAAACGCATTCAAGTGTTGATAATATTTTTCCTCCATAACTATTAATTACACATTAAAAATAATTATTGCGTCGCCGCGGTCAATATGTCATTTGCCGGTGAATATCACAGCATATTCAATGGCTTACTAGTCAATAATTGTATAATGATACGCACATGCCGTGTTATATACTACACGATTTTATATGGCCCTATATAAACGGGCCTAGCGGCTCGAGCTATATTGCAAACGACCGTTTATATACGGTCATATAACCTTTAAATAATTTTTATTTCTAATTTATAATACAGCAAACTTCCCTTTTTAGAAAAAAGTGAGATTTTTTCATAAAATGACAGCAGCCATATACATAATTAGATATAAATATTCCTGACATATTATTTGGCCCTATATAAACGGTTGTTTGTAAATATAACCTGAGCCGCCAGGCGAGGGTTATATTGCAAACAACCGTTTATATTCGGCCATATAACCTGTCAGGAATATTTATAACGAATTTATAATACTGCAAACTTTCTTTTTTATAGATAACAATTGAGATTTCTTTATAAATAATTGACAGCAGGCGTGCATTTAAAACTTTATAATACTGCACGTTTGTAACGACGCTTTTCATTGGATAATCGTGACGTTTATATTATTAGTTATAAAGGTCGTTGACAGTTTATATGGCCCTATATAAACGGCTATTTGTAAATATAACCTGAGCCGCTAGGCGAGGGATATATTGCAAACAGCAGTTTATATACGGCCATATAACCCGTCAACAATCTTTATAACGAATTTATAATACAGCAAGCATCATTTTTAGAGAAAAAAGTAAGATTTCTTCATGAATCGACAGCAGGCGTGTATATAAAACTATATAAACGTCACGATTATCCAATGAAAAATGACGTTACAAACTTGCAATATTATAAAGTTTTATATACACGGCTGCTATCGATTTATGAAGAAATCTCGCTTTCATGGCTTTAATCCTCTAAAAATGATGCTTGCTGTATTATAAATTCGTTATGAATATTTCTGACAGGTTATATGGTCGTATATAAACGGTTGTTTGCAATATAAACCTCGCCTAGCGGCTAGGTTTATATTTACAAACAACCGTTTATATAGGACCATATAACGTGTCAAAAATCTTTATAACTAATAATGAAGAACGTCACGATTATGCATAAAGGTATGATCCACCTAATGCATTACCTCCACTTTGAAGAGTATTCAAATAGGCTAGAACTACTGTCAGCTGCATTGTAACTAAAGGGCGCGGGTTCAAGCCCCAGAAGAGGCAACTTTTTTTTTCTTTGAACATTATTTGTGTCTCTCAGAACACTCTTGAGAAGAAAAAAGTGTTTCAATTTAATTATGAAATTATAATTGGTATTTTTAGCTAAATTGTGCCAAATTTATTATCAAATATGGTACCTGATATTTCAAAGTCTAATAAAATAAAAACTAGAAGGTAAAAGTATTTTATATTTGACAAACGCAACCAATATACTTCTTAGAAAATTTATGCAAACTTTAAAAACAGCCCCTGATTTGAGTAAAATTAAGGGATATTTTGAATAAGGCCCTGCAAGTAGAAAAATGATCAAACAACTACTTAAAATGGGTGTGGTAGGGTAACATTTATATACATATTTCAAACATTTTGTGTAGAAACACTAATTTTGCTGGGTCATTTGTTAGTTGAATGCTATTATTTGTTTTTTAAAAATGTTCTATAGGAAAACATTTTTTTCATAATGATTATAAAATAGAATATTTAGAGTTTCTCATTTATGAAAAAGAGCCCTTCTTATAGCCAATTTTTACTTAAGGAAAATCTCCATAACTCGTAAACCATACGGTAAACTTTGTTTAAATTTTGCATTCTTGTGTCTTTTAAGGTATATAACTGACCTATGTTGAATATTTTATAGTTCCTTATAGTGCCCATTAAGAAATTTTTTACGGAGTCGCTTAAGCGGTATGTGATAAATATACATTTTATTTGGATTTTAGACGTTTGGGCCTCCACATCCAAAATATCTCTGATGAAAATTATTACATCATTTTACTTTTTTTAATTGATTAAAAAGAATAATTAAATATAGTTTTATAACTTTAATAGAGGTTTTTTTCATATTCATTATTTAAGTAAAATATTGTACAATAATATTAATCCTTAATAGTCTTTTTCTTTCAATTGTCTGTGCTGAAAGTTCTATATCAAATCATATTGCTGTATAATGGAAAGTCTGCAATACCGTAAATAATTACGTTGATAGCATAAAGTATTAGACATAACAACAATCCACTAAATAATTATATATGGATGTTGTTGGCAAGAGTGAGATACATCTTTCGAAATTTCATATATTAATATAGCAGATAATGAACTGTTCTAGAACAAAATATTATTTTTCATGAATAACTTAGAACTCTTTCATGGACATTTTTTTCAAACAATACTTTAAAAAATTCTTTCCACTTGTCATGTTATTTATTGAAATTATTTAAGATTGTTAAATAAGCAATAAAGTAACAAAAAGATACCTGATATTTGAAAAGACATGCTGCTTATAAGTCTGTCTTCTACTTGAAAATTTACATCTTTATAATATATGAGCAATTAAATTGTATCAAAATCAAAACAATTTTCTTTCACAAAACAACTGACAAATAATGTGACACAGATGGTGTATTAGCAAAGATTGAATTTATTGTTGAAAGTAATGAATTAACCTTAAGCACCTCCCCATTTTAAAAACATGCTTTCAAAACGTATAAAAGGTATGTTTGTAATACAGTTATCAATTTAAACTTTCGAAATGAAGCTGATAAGTGGTATTTATTCTATCATTTTATTCATACTTTCAACATCGCCTCTGTATCATAATACTGCTACATTGGAAGTGAACTTTTGCGGGTATGAACAAACGTGTTCTAACAACATCACAAAACAGGCGTTACCGAGTGGTGCCTGTTGCAAACCTTGTGAATGTGAAGATATTTGTATAGAAAAGGGAACATGCTGCCGAGATAAAGAGAAACCCGTCGATGCGGACATTAATGCAAAACAGAAATGCCTTGCAGCTGCATATACACCAAATGGTGTCCCTCTTCCCGAAGAAATTCTTACATTTTACACTAGAACAAGCTGCCCGGTAACCTATGATGATATAGACATAAAGGCCAAGTGTGAAGTAGATACTCCCGGTACAATAACAGACATAATTCCCGTTTTATCCCGAGATGGAAAAGTACTTTATAAGAATAAATACTGCAGTTACTGCCACGGTGAAAAAATGACATACAGTTGGGATGTGACTGTACACGGAGCCTCTTCTCAAACTTGCCGTGAATCATTGCAGTCAGAAACTATAAACATTGAAACAGTATCAACAAAAATACTGTCAAACTGTATTTTAGAATTCAGACCGCCATCAAATATATTATTGCTTTAGACTTACTGTCCGTGAAATTTCCAGGTATGGGTGGCTTAAAAACGAATCGATTAGATGCTGTTGAGTTCATTCTTTGTTTTTTCATGTTATGTAGAATCGCGTTCGTTTGAATTTGAAGTACGTTTACTGTGTGTCATTAAAAAGTGTTTCTTCTGTGTACTTATCGCATTGATAACTTTTCCATCTTGAGAAAATATTACAATGAAACTTCAAAGGCTTGTGCTAAAGTTAATTGAATA